AAGTGCACCACTCACTCTTTTTCCCTCATCAATTCTATTGATTCACCCATCTTTCATAGACCCATCCGCTGACACGTCCACTCCCAAATATCTGAATACGTTCACCTCCTCCATACTCTCTCCCTCCAATCTGATATCCAATCTTTCATCACCTAATCTTTTTGTTATCCTCATAACCTTACTCTTTCCTGTATTCACCTTTAATTTTCTTCTTTTGCACACCCTACCAAATTCATCCACCAATCTCTGCAACTTCTCTTCAGAATCTCCCCAAGAGCACAGTGTCATCAGCAAAGAGCAGCTGTGACAACTCCCACTTTGTGTGTGATTCTTTATCTTTTAACTCCACGCCTCTTGCCAAGACCCTCGCATTTACTTCTCTTACAACCCCATCTATAAATATATTAAACAACCACGGTGACATCACACATCCTTGTCTAAGGCCTACTTTTACTGGGAAAAAATTTCCCTCTTTCCTACATACTCTACTTGAGCCTCACTATCCTCGTAAAAACTCTTCACTGCTTTCAGTAACCTACCTCCTACACCATACACTTGCAACATCTGCCACATTGCCCCCCTATCCACCCTGTCATACGCCTTTTCCAAATCCATAAATGCCACAAAGACCTCTTTAGCCTTATCCAAATACTGTTCACTTACATGTTTCACTGTAAACACCTGGTCCACACACCCCCTACCTTTCCTAAAGCCTCCTTGTTCATCTGCTGTCCTATTCTCCGTCTTTACTCTTAATTCTTTCAATTATAACTCTACCATACACTTTACCAGGTATACTCAACAGACTTATCCCCCTATAATTTTTGCACTTTCTTTTATCCCCTTTGCCTTTATACAAAGGAACTATGCATGCTCTCTGCCAATCCCTAGGTACCTTACCCTCTTCCATACATTTATTAAATAATTGCACCAACCACTCCAAAACTATATCCCCACCTGCTTTTAACATTTCTATCTTTATCCCATCAATCCCGGCTGCCTTACCCCCTTTCATTTTACCTACTGCCTCACGAACTTCCCCCCACACTCACAACTGGCTCTTCCTCACTCCTACAAGATGTTATTCCTCCTTGCCCTATACACGAAATCACAGCTTCCCTATCTTCATCAACATTTAACAATTCCTCAAAATATTCCCTCCATCTTCCCAATACCTCTAACTCTCCATTTAATAACTCCTCTCCTATTTTTAACTGACAAATCCATGATGGAATATGTAACAACAAAATGCAAGGAGGCAATGGAAAGGTTTTTTCCCAAGGGCAACAGTAACAACGGGAAGACCAGAATGAGCCCCTGGTTTACCCGACGGTGTAAGGAGGCAAAAACAAAGTGCAATAGAGGATGGAAAAAGTACAGAAGGCAGAGAACACACGAAAATAGGGAGATCAGTCGCAGAGCCAGGAATGAGTACGCACAGGTAAGGAGGGAGGCCCAGCGACAGTATGAAAATGACATAGCATCGAGAATCAAGACTGACCCGAAACTGTTGTATAGCCACATCAGGAGGAAGACAACAGTCAAAGACCAGGTGATCAGATTAAGGACAGAAGGTGGAGAACTCACAAGAAATGATCAGGAGGTATGTGAGGAGCTGAACAGGAGATTTAAGGAAGTTTTTACAGTAGAGACAGGAAGGGCTGTGGGGAAGACAGCACAGAAGGGAACATCAAGAGGGAATATACCAACAAGTGTTGGATGACATACGAACAACTGAGGAGGAGGTGAAGAAGCTCTTAAGTGACCTTGACACCTCAAAGACGATGGAACCGGACAACATCTCCCCATGGGTCCTTAGAGAAGGAGCAGAGATGCTGTGCGTGCCTCTAACCACAATCTTCAACACATCCCTTGAAACTGGGCAACTACCTGAGAAATGGAAGACAGCTAATGTAGTCCCCATATTTAAGAAAGGAAACAGAAACGAGGCACTAAACTACAGACCTGTGTCTCTGACATGTATTGTGTGCAAAGTCATGGAGAAGATTATCAGGAGGAGAGTGGTCGAACACCTGGAAAGGAACAAGATATAAATTAAAACCAGCATGGGTTCATGGAAGGCAAATCTTGTATCACAAACCTCCTGGAGTTTTATGACAAGGTAACAGAAGTAAGACACGAGAGAGAGGGGTTGGTAGATTGCGTTTTCCTAGACTTTCAGGAAGGCCTTTGACACAGTTCCCCACAAGAGATTAGTGCAGAAGCTGGAGGAAACAGGCGCACATAAAAGGGGGGGCACTGCAATGGATAAGGGAACACCTGACAGGGAGGCAGCAACGAGTCATGGTACGTGAAGAGGTATCACAGTGGGCGCCTGTTACGAGCGGGGTCCCACAGGGGTCAGTTCTAGGACCAGTGCTATTTTTGATATATGCGAACGACATGATGGAAGGAATAGACTCTGAAGTGTCCCTGTTCGCAGATGACGTGAAGTTGATGAGAAGAATTAAATCGGACGAGGATGAGGCAGGACTGCAAAGAGACCTGGACAGGCTGGACATGTGGTCCAGCAACTGGCTTCTCGAATTCAATCCAGCCAAATGCAAAGTCATGAAAGATTGGGGAGGGGCAAAGAAGACCGCAGACAGAGTATAGGCTAGGTGGACAAAGACTACAGACCTCACTCAGGGAGAAAGACCTTGGGGTGACCATAACACCGAGCACATCCCCGGAGGCACACATCAACCAAATAACCGCTGCAGCATACGGGGCGCCTGGCAAACCTGAGAATAGCGTTCCGATACCTTAATAAGGAATCGTTCAAGACACTGTACACTGTGTATGTTAGGCCCATACTGGAGTATGCAGCACCAGTCTGGAACCCACACCTGGTCAAGCACGTCAAGAAGTTAGAGAAAGTACAAAAGTTTGCAACAAGGCTAGTCCCCGAGCTCAAGGGAATGTCGTACGAGGAAAGGTTAAGGAAATCGGACTGATGACACTGGAGGACAGAAGGGTCAGGGGAGACATGATAACGACATACAGATACTGCGGGGAATAGACAAGGTGGACAGAGATAGGATGTTCCAGAGAGGGGACACAGGGACAAGGGGTCACAACTGGAAGCTGAAGACTCAGACGAGTCACAGGGACGTTAGGAAGTATTTCTTCAGTCATAGAGTTGTCAGCAAGTGGAATAGCCTAGCAAGTGAAGTAGTGGAGGCAGGAACCATACATAGTTTTAAGAAGAGGTATGACAAAGCTCAGGAAGCAGAGAGAGAGAGGATCCAGTAGCGCTCAGTGAAGAGGCGGGGCCAGGAGCTGAGTCTCGACCCCTGTAACCACAATTAGGTGAGTACAATTAGGTGAGTACACACACACACACACACACACACACACACACACACACACACACACACACACACAGGGGTCAGTCCTAGGACAGGTACTGTTCCTGGTATTTGTGAACGACATGACGGAAGGAATAAATTCAGAGGTGTTTGCAGATGTGAAGTTGATGAGAAGAATTCAATCAGACGAGGACCAGGCAGAACTACAAAAGGATCTGGACAGGCTGCAGGACTGGTCCAGAAACTGGCTCTTGGAGTTCAACCCCACCAAGCGCAAAGTCATGAAGATTGGGGAACGGCAAAGAAGACCGCAGAGGATTACAGTCTAGGGGGGCCAGAGACTACAAACCTCACTCAAGGAAAAGGATCTTGGGGTGAGCAAAACACCGGGCATATCTCCTGAGGCGCACATCAACCAAATAACTGCTACAGCATACAGACGCCTAGCAAATCTAAGAACAGCATTCTGACATCTTAATAAGGAATCATTCAGAACACTGTACACCATGTACGTTAGGCCTATATTGGAGTGTGCAGCACCAGTTTAGAACCCACACCTAGCCAAGCACGTAAGGAAACTAGAGAAAGTGCAAAGGCTTGCAACAAGACTAGTCCTTAGCTAAGGGACATGTTCTACGAGGAGAGGTTAAAGGAAATCGACTTGACGACACTGGAGGACAGGAGAGATAGGAGGGATATGATAACGACAAACATACTGAAAGGAATCGACAAGGTGGACAGAGACAGGATGTTCCAGAGATGGGACACAGAAACAAGGGGTCACAGTTGGAAGTTGAAGACTCAGATGAGTCACAGGGACGTTAGGAAATATTTCTTAAGTCACAGAGTTGTTAGAAAGTGGAATAGTCTGGGAAGTGATGTAGCGGAGGCAGGATCCATACATAGCTTTAAGAAAAGGTATGATAAAGCTCATGGAGCAGGAAGAGGCGGGACCAGGAGCTATGAATCGACCCCTGCAACCACAATTAGGTGAGCGCGCACACACATGATAACGACATACAAAATACTGCAAGGAATTGGCAAGGTGGAGAGAGACAGGATGTTCCAGACATGGGACACAGAAACAAGGGGCCACAGTTGGAAGTTGAAGACTGTTAGGAAGTACTTCTTTAGTCAAAGAGTTGTCAGGAAGTGGAATAGTCTGGCAAGTGATGTAGTGGAGGCAGGAACCATACATAGTTTTAAGACGAGGTATGATAAAGCTCATGGAGCAGGAAGAGAGAGGACCTAGTAGCGACCAATGAAGAGGCGGGGCCAGGAGCTATGTCTCGACCCCCTCAAGGGAGGTTCCTTGACGCTGGTGAGGGGCTGTTGATCTAGGGAATTGGATCTGTGCTCCAGTTCCCTGAATTGAGCCTGAATGCTTTCCATCCCCCCCCCCCAACAGGCGTTGTATAATCCTACGGGTTTAGCACTCCCCGTGATTATAATAATAATGTCTCGACCCCTGAAACCGCAAATAGGTGAGTGTATACACATACACTCGCTCTCTCTAACGAGGTAATAGTGTAAGGATGAATATTATTAGAGAGAAATATAGTTGTGGTATATCAGTGTCAGAGGGGAAGTCTGTTCATCGCATCCCTGGAAGGTTAACGGTGTATCACTAGTTGGTTATTACGGAAGGTGATGTGTAGTGTTCGTGCCTAACGCGGTAGCAGTCAGTGGTGGGAAGCCAGCCTGTGTGTATACTCCATCTCTACTTACTTCTTCCCTCGTGTGAACGACACACAATCTTAGCTGTGTGTATACCCCATCCTTATGTGAGCAACATTATCATACCAGTGTCTACCCCATCCTTATGTGAGCAACATTATCATACCAGTGTGTACCCCATCCTTATGTGAGCAACATTATCATACCAGTGTGTACCCCATCCTTATGTGAGCAACATTATCATACCAGTGTGTACCCCATCCTTATGTGAGCAACATTATCATACCAGTGTGTACCACATCCTTATGTGAGCAACATTCATCATACCAGTGTATACCCCATTCTCACCTTATGTGAGCAACATTCATCAATCATTCAATCAATCAAGTTTATTCTCTATAAGGATTACAATGCGGGGTTTAGAGATTTTGGTTATTGTGTGGTTTATATGTAATAAAATACTAATTACAGAGGGGGCCACTAGGACACCTAGCATGGCTAGGCATTTCGGGCAAACTTAGATTAATTCTTAACCCTAAATTATTACAGATTATGGTATTAAGGCTAAGTGACTACATTATAGTTTGTGAGTTTAGCAATGTGAATGCTTTTGTTTTGGCACAATACATAGTTTCTATATTGGAGTATCACAGGCAAGCTTATGACTAGTTAGGAATCATTATTTTAAGATTAAGATTCGTATTTCTGTGCTTATAGTCAAATGGGCGAGTGAGTGTAAGTGTGAACCACCAGGTGGTTTTTATGTAGTTAGTTGACGGGGTGTATCAGGGAGATAAGATGTTTTCTAACGGTAGTTTTGAAGGTGATGAATGTGTCATCATACAGTGTATATCCCACCCTCACATCCTTATGTGAGCAACATTCATCATGTTGTTAGGTAAGACACATATGCAACAGTTAGACAACTTTATTCCGAAACGTTTCGCCTACACAGTAAGCTTCTTCAGTCGAATACAGAAAATAGGCAGGAACAGTAGAGATGTGAAGACGATGTAATCAGTCCATCACGACTACAAGGGTGATGGACTGATTACATCGTCTTCACATATCTACTGTTCCTGCCTATTTTCTGTATTCGACTGAAGAAGCCTACTGTGTAGGCGAAACGTTTCGGAATAAAGTTGTCTTAACTGTTGCATATGTGTCTTACCTAATAACCTGTCGGTATTGTATACCATTTTGATGTTCAACATTCATCATACCAGTGTATATCCCATCCTCACATGATCGACGTTCCATCGTAATGTATTCCATCTCCCTGTTTCTCCATTATGTCTCTCCAAACTACTTTTGCTTGCCATCGCTTAGATATGGTAGAACATCCGGGGTAATTAATACCTTAAGCGTCACAACAACAGTAAATTAAACAGTTTATTTCGTATATATTAATATGTCTGATTTATTATTAAATTATAGTATTGGGAAGTCAGGGAGAAGGTGTGTACGAGTTAGTGAGAACTTTTAGATGACTTATGCAGTGATTAATGGACGAAGGTCATTGAGGCAGCGAATCAGCTGTATAATATCATCTGGTTGTATATGCCCAGTATAATAATGTGCGGTGTATATAGTGTCCATTGTGATCTTGTTATGGAAATATAAACACATATGCAGTATAATGTGATCCTTTATTGACTACGTTTCGCCCACACAGTGGGCTTCTTCAAGTCACAAACAGATCTACCTGAGGTGGAAGGGACGCGAGTATTTATAGTTAGGTTCAGAATGCTGAGGTCAGGTGGAGAATGCTGCATCTGATGATGTACCGAGTGGGGTTATAGAGTAAAATCTTGGGTAGCTTGTAAATGAGATTGGATAAGTTTGTGAGCAGACCTTCTACAGTGTTCTTATGTGGGATATCGATGAAGAAGTTTCTTGGCAAGTGGTTCAGCTATGTTATAGAAGCCACTATTCTGGTTGAAGTTGTCGGATATAGAAATAAGTGATGATTCCAGGATTCTTCGGTATTGAGTGTTGTCTTCTGTGGCGATCACATTATACTGCATATGTGTTTATATTTCCATTGTGTCGGTATTTTATACCATATATATCCATCGTGATCTTGTTATAGTGGAGATAACATTACTGGATAAATGTCTCCATGTCACAGATAACTCGCACGTAGTTTACCTGGAGAGGGTTTCGGGGGTCAAAGCCCCCGCGGCCCGGTCTGAGACCAGGCCTCATGGTGAATCAGGGTCTGATCAACCAGGCTGTTACTGCTGGCGCATGCAAGCTGACGTACGAACCACAGCCCGGATGGTCAGGTACTGACTTCAGGTGCTTGTCCAGTGCCTTCTTGAAGACAGCCAGGGGTCTATTGGTAATCCCCCCCTCATGTATGCTGGGAGGCATTTGAACAGTCTTGAGCCCCGGACACTTATTGTGTTATCTCTCAGTGTACTCGTGGCACCCCTGTTTTTCATCGGGGGAATGCTGCATCTCCTGCCGAGTCTTTTGCTTTCATAGGTTGTGATTTTCGTGTGCAGGTTTGGTACCAATCCCTCCAGGACCTTCCAAGTGTATATTATCATGTATCTCTCGTCTGAGTTCCAGGGAATACAGATCAAGGGCCTTCAACCGTTCCTAGTAGTTTAGGTGCCTTATCGTACTTATGTGTGCCGTGAAAGTTCTTTGTACACTCTCCAGGTCTGCAATGTCGCCAGCCTTGAAGGGGGCCGTTAGTGTACAGCAGTATTCCAGCACAAGTGATTTGAAGAGAATCATCCTGGGCTTGGCATCCCTAGTTTTGAAGGTTCTCATTATCCATCCTATCACTTTCCTAGTGGATAAGGTAGATACATTGTTGTGGTCATTGAAGGCGAGATCCTCTGACATCACTCCTAGAAAGAAACTTATGGCGACGTTTCGGTCTGACTTCAACCATTTACTGTTTATTTTAAATAGTTAATGATCCAGGTCGGACCGAAACGTCGTCATAAGTTTCTGGTATGTGTGAGTTATTTGTGTATTGTTCCAGTCGCGGTATTGTGCCGTTTCCTTCTTTAATATCTTCATTTCCGTGATCAGGTCGAGAAAGAGCATTATATAACTACTGACTGTACTGGATGATAATCACTACCAATATTAATGACGATAACTTTATAAATATTTACATGTTAGTAATAAGTTGTACAAGTCATTGTGATTGTGGCAACATTGAACGAGTTTTGTTGGTTATTGTGTTCGAGCTGGTATTGTGATCCATGTTATGTGACTTATTGCCATAATCCTTTATGTAATTCAGTTGTTGGTCAGATTGACCTTAACCAAATATAATTAACGTTAAAGAAAATCAACCTAACGTAAACCTTTCCTTTTTAATGCCGGGAATATCTCATGGTTTAGATCGTTCAGAAATACACACACATAAACCTGTTATGGATGATCCTGGTCACAAAAAAACTATCCGCAATATTTGGAGTATTATTTGTTCGATGTATGTTTGTGTTGTAACACTTTGGGATCTATATTGAATGAACTTTTGATCTCTTGGCTCCATAATGTTTGAAACTTCACAGCTGTGGCCCGGCTGCCTGCACCAAGAACTGGCTGTCTGTACCAAGAACCGGCTGCCTGCACCAGGAACCGGCTGTTTTTTCCTACTAAAGTCTTCGTGTGTAATATCATCAGGTATTCAACTTGTGCAACATATATTTCACTTTCTTCTGCAGTTTGTCTTAGTCGTCAGTGTAGTGTCTTAGTTGCCATTGTAGTGTCTTACTCTGTGGATTGTATCACTCGTTAATGACTACTCTCACTTTTATGTGGATAGTATCGCCCTTCTTGTGACCTGACTTTTCTATAAGTAGTTTTGCTTTTCCATGGGCTGTTTCACCCATCTCTTGGATTGTTTCCTTCTCTAGGTAGGTATATTCCTTGATGCTGGTGAGAGGCTCTTCATCCTAGGCATTAAATCTAATCTCACGTGGATTGAATCCAAATGCCTCCCATTTACACAGGTGATCTGACGCCAACGGGTTTGGTGCTTCCCCATTCATGTAATTATAATAAGCTCCTTTCTTCGCCTTCTTCGTCTTTGCCAAGCTTGTAGACGTCGTCGTGAGCTTCTATGTGCGGGTAATTTGTATATTGTTCCAGTCATGGTATTGTGCCTTTTTTTTTTGTATCGGTGATACAGCGCCTGTGTAACTGGAGGTAATAGGGTTCGATCTAAGGAGAGTGAGTAAAGCTTCATATTTTGGATCAAGAGCCCCTCACCGACATCAAGGGCCTCGTCTATAAGTCTGTTCGACAAATTCTTTCGTATATCTAATTTCTGTTTAAATCATTCCAATTTGAATCCATTATTACTTGTTAGGCTGGACTGAAGCAGCCAGGTGGAACGCCGGTACATTCAGCAGCCCGTGGTACAGCTGACAGCTGCATGTAACTTACCTTAATTTCATGTGTTGTATGATAAGTTTGGTTTCTCCCGACATGCCTCTGTGAGCGTCTCCTCCTATTACGCATGTCGCCAGGAATTCTTTGACACACTCATATAATTTATTTTCTCTCAATCTCCATCTGTATCAGTTATGGGAATCTGTTCTCTTGCGACTCTCACTCTGACATCTTGTAGAGGTTCCCAGCAGTTCTTCACCAGCGCTATCAGGTTCTGCTTACACGCAAACGTGTTGTAACGGAATGTCCTACTTACCATTTCCACCAGTATTTGCTGACGTCTCTATAAACTACTAGTCAGTATCAAGGTTAATACCGCAATTATCTTAACAACTAATTTAAAACTGCAATTATGAGTTTCTCTTATGCATTTACCATCCACACCTGTAGTTCGTCAACGTTAGCACCCTCACCCTCCCTCCCTCCCTCCCTCCCTCCCTCCTCCTTACCTTCTTTCCTTCCTTTCCGTCTAGCACTTAGTGACCTACATAGGTTTAGCACTTTTTTGTGAACATAATCATTTTGCCATGTACCTGACACGTAACTTTTTCACTTCCTCACAATAATGCCTGTTAGTACTATGGCAAGTAATAGGGTCGCTTTCTTTACTTGAAATGTTATCAATTTTGCTTACAATATTTCCCTTCCAGCCATAGGGAAGCACATATGAACGCTTTTCTTC